TATTAGATCGGGTCATTATATTGTTCGTGCACTTAGAGGAGCTTTTGACGGTGGGCGGTGTGAGCGTGGCACCTCGTGTGGCTGGGTTATTGATGTTTATCTTGTTCCCTCTCTTCCTCCTCACCAGCTTCCCCTTGGACTTGTGCAGGGTGGATGGCACCCTGGAGTTGGCCGCAGAGGTTTCATGATCCCTAGCCATTGCACGATCACACAGGCTGAGTTGGCAGCTGCACATTCTCTTCTCAATGGCATTGCCGAGATGTGTATACACGTACAACTTGGCAGGTGACTGTTTGTGTTTAATATCTGCATAGCTCCGCTGTTGTAAGATACATGCTTAGCCCCACTGTTTCTTGATGTGTGTATATTCCTGTGCAGCTACGCTGTTGTATCATATATGCACAGCTACGCTGACTTGTATATCGCACAGCTCCGCTGTTAGTGCTTAGGTTGCCTGTAGGTAATCCTACCGCTGGCCCTGCCCCCTAAGGGGGCTCGAATCGGGCCCCGCAGACCGCAGACCAGATTGACGGTTCACCGCCGGCGCCAGTTTGACAATTCATTCCCGGAGAGCTCTCAGAGAGCTAGAGGGTTTGAGATTAGATGCCGGACAGTGGTGGTGCCCGCCAGCACCCCATCTCCGCCGGTCCACGATCCCCGCAGCGCCTCGCCCAGCCCGGCAGCGTGTCCGCAGCAATGCAGGATCGCTTCAGAAAGGTTCCACAGAGCTCTGCAGGCGCCCAAGGGAGGTGTGACAGAGCTTTGCAGGAAGGCACACGTCCACGCTTGCCTGCACGCATGCAGGCACGCATGGGGGCGTGCCTGGCAGTGAGAAAAGATTTCCTGTCCCGGAGGTGTCTTCGCTCTCTGGGTTTTGGACGCTACCAAGTTTTGAGAAACCAGATTTTTCTCACGTGTAGTGGGTTATGCCGCGTCTGCCAGTGTCCGTAGCTGCAATATTATTATGGAAAGACTTGCAGGAACCGATTTTGGATAGAAACCGAAAACTCGTGATTTCTCGAGTTTTCGGTTCTCGCTTCAGCAGCTTCCTCGATCTCTTTCGATGAGCCCTGTGCAACAAGAGAGCTCTACAAGGTGCCCGGCGGTATCCTGGTTGACGGTTTACCGCCGGTTCCCATTTCTTCCAGCGCTTCGGCAGCGCTGCAACGAAATTCCGAGATCTCTCCAGGAAAGATTGCCTTTCCCAAAAGGGTCTCTTCGCTCTCCAGGCGCTACCAATCGATGAGCAAGATGAATTCCGGCGCGGAGTGGAGCTAGTTGGTCGACCCGACCAGAAAGGCCAAAGTGGTGACTTTGTGTCGGTTTTGCGCAGATTTGAGAGATGTTTCCCGGAGAGCTCTCTGAGAGCTAGAGGGTTTTAGATTAGAAGCCGGACGGTGGTCCCCGCCAGGAGCCCATCTCCGCCGCTTCACGATCCCCGCAGCGGGTCGCCTGACCCGGCAGCGTGTCCGGGAGAGCTTCCGGCAAGCGTACCTCGTAGAGCTCTTCCGTATCGATGAGCTAGAGGAATTCCGGCGCGGGGTGGAGCTAGTTGGCCGACCCGGCCTTAAGAGACAAAGTGGTGACTTTCGGTCGTTTTTGCTAAGATTTGAAAGATATTTGACACTTCATTTTCCGAAACCAGATTTTTCTCACGTGTAGTGGGTTATGCCGCGCGTTCCTGGTAGCGCTTCAGAAGCGCTCCAGGGGGGCCCCCCAGAGCCCCGGAAGCGCTCCAGGGGAGCTTCCGAAAGCTCGCCAGGAAGGGTGTATGTCTTGCTTGCTCTCCGGGTTTGGGACGCAACCAAGTGACTCGTAGAGCTTTCCTAAGCTGGAAGCTTAAGAGTAATACCTTGTAGAGCTCTTCGGGATGAGCTAGAGGAATTCCGGCGCGGGATGGAGCTAGTAACTCGTAGAGCTTCCCTTAGCTAGTTGCTGGAAGCTTAAAGTAATGACTCGTAGAGCTTCTCTAAGCTAGTTGCTGGAAGCTTAGAAGTAATTCGGGCGCGCCGGAGAGCTAGTTGGCAAGAAAAATCTCGACGGAACTGTTGCTGACGGTTGACAATTTTGTTCTCGAAATTCAATTATTCGTCAGAGCTCTAGTATTTTCTCCCGTGTTATTCCCGCTCGCCATCTTGATTTTGTTTTGATCGGTAAGTATTACTATCGAAAAGCACTGTGGCGGGATCGCTTGTTTCGAGTAATCTTTATACGTGCTGACGGTTTTCTGAACATAACTCGAACTTCAGGGCAGCTACAGAGCTGGTACGCACAGCTAATCGATGTAGAATGATCAGGCGCGTTCGCCTGTTGAATCCAGAGGTCTGAACTCGGTCTGAAAGCCAAGCTAGGTCCGCAAACCTATTGGTATTCTTCGAGTCATCTTGATAGGAACTCTCGGGTTTCTGTATTTTCTCGAGCTGTAGGACAGCTACAGAGCTGATATTTACAGAAACCGATTCAGAATCATCAGTTGCGTGTTTGTCGAAGCGAGAGCTCTGAACTCGGTCTGCTGCCCGATCTAGAATCGCGAAATTATTCGTATTGGTCGAGTCATCTTGAGAAGTGCTCTCGGTTTTCTTCACTCAACTCGCGCTGAGGGGGGCTACAGTGCTTGTTGTCCTAGGAATCGAATCCAGAGCTCGGAACTCGGTCTGCTGCCCAAATCAGGTCTGCGAAACTACTGTATTGTTCGAGTCATCCTGAGAGGTGCTGTCGGTTTTCTGCACTTAACTGGGGCTGTAGGGGGGCTGCAGGGCTCGTAATGACAGGAGCCAATTCGCAGACATCAGACGCGTCCGCCTGTCGCATAACAATATTTACTATGAGTCGGAATGTTGGTAGGTGCTGTCGGTTTTCTCAACTTAAGTCGAGCTAGGAAGCTCTACGAGTCTCCCGGCGGTAACCAAGGTTGACGGTTTGCCGCCGGCGCCCAGTTCCGGGGCGCTGGAGAGCTAGTTGGCAAGAAAAATCTCGACGGACCTTTTGCTGACTTTTGGTCAGTTGAAAATTTTGTTCTCGAAATTCAATCGTTTGAGCTGTAGTATTTTGCCTGACCATATTCGATCTTATTCCCGCTCGCCATCTGAATCTCAGCTCGATCGGGTAAATATTTCTGTAAAAAAGCATCGCGGCGGGATCGGCTGTTTCGAGTCATCTTGATACGCGTTGTCGGTAGTTTGTACAAAACTCGAGCTGTAGGGCAGCTACAGAGCTCATTCTCACAGAAATCGATTGCGAATGATCAGACGGGTTCGTCTGTTCTATCGAGAGGTCTGAACTCGGTCTGCTGCCCGAGCTAGGTTCGCGAAACTATTCGTGTTGTTGGAGTCATCTTGAGAAGTGCTGACAGTTTTCTGCACTTAACTCGGGCTGCAGGGTGGCTACAGGGCTCGTGCTCACAGGAATCGGTTCGGAGACATCAGGTGCGTTCGCCTGCCGAATCGAGAGCTCAGGACTTGGTGTGCTGCCCGAGCTAGGTTCACAAAACTATTCGTATTCGTCGAGTCATCTTGAGAGGTGCTGTCCGTTTTCTGCACTTAACTCGAGCTGTAAGGGGGCTGCAGGGTTGATAATCACTGGAATCGATTGGGAGACATCAGTAGCGTCCAGCTGTCGCATTCAGAGCCCTGAACTCGGTCTGCTGCCCGAGCTACGTCCGCGAAACTTTTCGTATTGTTCGAGTCATCTTCAGAGGTGCTGTCGATTTTCTGCACTTTAACTCGGGCTGTAAGGGGGCTGCAGGGCTGGTAATCACAGAATCGATTCAGAGACATCAGGCGCGTGCGCCTGTTGTATTGAGATGTCTGAACTCGGTCTGATACTCGAGCTAGATTCGCGAAACTATTTGTATTGTTCGAGTGATCTTGAGAGGTGCTGCCGATTTTCGGACGTAACTCGGGCTGTAGGAGAGCTACGGAGCTCGTGCGCACAGAAAACGATCCAGGAGCACGAGGGGCGTTTGGCTGTTGCATCGAGAGGTCTCAAATCGTTTAGACTATTGGTTCTCTGCAATTTTTTCGACATTATATATATGCTCAGGAAGCTCTACGAGTCCCCCGGCGGTAACCAAGGTTGGTTGCTCAAGGCGTGGTTGCTCTTCGCATCCGACAGGGGTTTTAAACTCTGCCTGGACCTCGCCTCCAGTTTAGAGCCCCTACGCCAGCAAAGCTTGTGTTTCGCTTACGTTACGAGGGCACACACGCAGTCAAGCGCAGACTCCGTGACAGCCATCACGGTGCCCGATCTCTGCACTCTTGCCAGTTTTCAATCAGCCCGCGTGTGGAGGGCTCGCTCAGCTTTCACCCTCTTGCGTTTGCCCGCTTTCAATCGTGTGTGGATTTGTTGTGCACTCAGGACGCATTACAGATAACAGATCTCAAGATTGGTTGCAGTTTTCTTTTATTCTCTAATCGATGTTGTCTTCTCTTGGTGGACCCCCTTGGTATTCATACTCAAGTGAGCGGTCTCAGATAAGTCACGACTGGCATGCATGTTACAACACTCATACTTCCCCTACTCTGTCCCCCGTGTCTGGTCCCAAATCGATCAGTTGGAAGCGCAAGACCCGTAGATTGACTCTGGCTGCCTGGAGGCAGATCGAGGTGGACTTTAGCTTGTTTACCGTTCCGTTCGACACCACACGCGCTCCCGCCACAATCTATCTGGCTGGTGCCCTCGGCGAACATGTTGGTCCTTCGCAGGTGCACTCTGACGGCCTCAGTTCTTCCGCTCAAGTTTTCAGGCCTAGCGGTCCAGTGGTGGGCAGTTCTTCCGCTCGAGTTTCAGGCAGGGAAAGAGGCGACAAGAGGGGGCGAGAGGAAAGCGATGGCCGTTCTTCAAACCAGGGCAGTGCTTCAAATCATGGCAGTTATTCAATTCAAGGTTCTTCCAATCAAGTTTCTTCAAATCAATTGGGCAGTTGTTCCAACCAGGGCAGTCCTTCAAATCAAGGTTCTTCCAATCAAGTGTCTTCAAACCAGGTTGGAGCTTCGTCAGAGGTTGGTGCGAGTGCGGACCCAACAGTGGAAGCTTCGTCAGAGGTTGGAGCTTCGTCAGAGGTTGGCGCTTCGACAGAGGTTGGAGCTTCAAATCAAGGTTCTTCCAATCCAGTTTGCTCCAATCAAGTTTCTTCCAATCAAGCTTCGTCCGAGGTTGGAGCGAGTGCGGACCCAACAGTGGAAGACAGAGATCCTGAGGAGATGTGTGAGGAGATGTTTGCGGAGATGTTTGAGGATGTATGCCAGCATCTCCTTCCGAGGCCACATGTGGACCCGAGTCGACTGCGAGCGTACATGATGTTGTTTCCAAAATACCATGACGATGGGGAATCGAGTGATAGTGAGTTCGAAAGTGCGCAGACTGAATGGGTTGTCGACTTCTTAGCGGCTTACACAAGCTGCCCTCAGGAGGAGAGGGATCATTTCTTGCACGAATGGGCTGGCCTCCTCGAGTATGGATGCTATCCCGACATGCTCCGAACCCTCCAGGACATAGTCGCACACGATGGGCTTGCTATTCAATATCGGTCTCTCGCACAACACTTCCTTGGACGCCTATTGGAGACGATGGATTAGAGTTATCGCTGTGTTGGTTGAAACGTTATTGAACTGGCCCCCAAAACTCAGCACGGGTTGAAGCGACCCTTTTCTGCCCAATGGGACCTTTTCTTCTTGGGACTTCGCATATATACGGTTAGGGTGTTTCCTTCCCTTCCAAACGTTTGGTCTGCCTGTTGGTCGGCTGTGGCTGATTTCGGAACAGTGTGGATCTCCCTCAATAATCATGTGCATCCAAAGTTTCGTGTTGGTAACCTCTTGCATACTGGAGTTGCGAAATTGTTGACCGCTTTAGTGTAATGTGGCTTCTGCACATGTTGCTTCATGTCATATTCTAAGGCTTCGCCTTGTTGTGCACTCCCCGTGGTGAGACGTTTACTAACTAGCATCCCTTTTTTTTTGTTGTTTCTTTTTTTTTGTTTTTTTTCTTGTTTTTTTTTGTTTCGTTGTATTTTTGTTTTTTTTTGTTTTTTTATGTTTGTTTTTGTTTTTTTGTTTTTTTTTATTTTTTTTTTTTTTTTTTTTTTTTTTTTTTTTGTTTTTGTAGCTTTGTTTTTTTTTTGTTTTTTTTGGTGTGTTTTTTTTTTTTTTTTTTTTGTTTTTTTTTTTTTTTTCTTTTTCTTGTTTTTCGTTTTGTTGTTTGTTTTTTGTATTGTAGGTTGTCCGCTGTCTCGCTTTTGGCGAGTCGTGGATGCTTCGTGTTGGATGGCGAGCATCTGCTCCGCTGCTGCGGACCTGAATCTTGAGCGGGGACTCCTCTGTCCCTGTGGGCTCCGAGCAAAGCAAAAAACCAAGGTTGGATTTTATCCGTACGTTGCTTTCGGAATGGAACCTTCAACATGTTTTAGAATATGCTCACCTGCCTGAACCGAAACCCTGGAGGCCGAAAAACGACGAGGAGGAGGTGGAGGGGACGGAGGAGAGAAACAATGAGATTGCAAAGCGGCTCGCCTTTAACTTCGAGAATGCCAGCGTCTGGAACTACGAGGCTGAAGGGATTCCCGTCGAGCTCTGTGGTGACTCCCAGGTGGTGGTGAACTGGCTGGTGGGACAATATGTATGTACGACGGAAGTATATTGTGAGACCATTGCACACATTCAAAGTATATTATACAGATTACATCTTAACTATCACGTGAACCTGAGGCCGCCGTCTTGGGGATTAGATCCATGGAAGTGGGTTTATCGCGAGGGAAACGAGCGTGCTGATGCTGAAACTTGGAAAGCCCGCACGGGCCAGAGCCACCGTACTTTCGACCCGCGCATTCATACTCTCAGAAGGGAACAAATAAAAGGGATTCGCGGCTACTTCGATGGTGGTCGTTCCTCCCACGGTGTTGGCATTGGTTGGGTTATTGACCTATTCGTGCTCCCCCACCCTGCTCTTCAACACTCTCAAGGCTCTTGGCTATTCAACTTAGCTTCTGAGGCTGCCGCCATCCCGCCGACCTGCACGGTTAGTCAAGCTGAGCTCTTGGCCAGCAAGCGCCTCGCTGAAGGTGTCGAGCACCTGCTGCTCCTCTGCCGCGGACCTGAATCCTGAGCGGGGGCTCCTTTGTCCCTGTGGGCTCCGAGCAAAGCAAAAACCAAGGTTGACGGTTTACCGCGGGCGCCCAGTTGGCCCACCCGGCTGAGGCGGACAATGTGACAACTTTTGGGTGGTTTTGCGAATATTTGAAAGATATTTGACAAATCATTTTGAGAAACCAGATTTTTCGCACCTGTAGTGGGTTTTGCCGCGTCTGCCAGTAAAATTCTCAGGTCTATAGGTGCAGTATCACTATCAAAACACTTGGCGGAACCGACGTTGAGTAAAAGCAGAAAAACGTGATTTTATGAGTTTTTTCTTTCTCGCTCCAGAAGGTTTCTGTCCGTGTTCTGACTATCGCCGTGCAAGAAAAGAGCTCTAGGAGGTTTCTGGCGGTAGCCAGGTTGACGGTTTACCGCCGGTTCCAGTTCCGGCGCGCTAGAGAGCTAGTTGGCAAGAAAAAACTCGACGGAACTTTTGGTGACTTTTGGTCGGTTGAAAATTTTGTTCTCGAAATTCAACAATTCGTTCGAACTCTAGTATTTTTTACAGTGATATTCGATCTTATTCCCGCTCGCCATCTTGATCTCAGCTCGATCGGGTGAATATTACTATCGAAAAGCACTGTGGCGGGATCGGCCGTTTTGAGTCATCTTGATACGCGCTGACGGTTTTCTGAACATAACTCGAGCATTAGGACAGCTAGAGAGCTGGTAAGCAGAGCCAATCGATGTAGGATGATTAGGCGCGTTCGCCTGTTGAATCCAGAGGTCTCAACTCGGTCTGTTAGCCGAGCTAGGTCCGCAAACCTATTCGTATTATTCGAGTCATCTTGACAGGAACTATCGGTTTTCTGTACTCAACTCGAGCTGTAGGACAGCTACAGATCTGATATTTACAGAAACCGATTTAGAATCATCAGTTGCGTTTGTCTGTCGAATCCAGAGCTCTGAACTCGGTCTGCTGCCCGATATAGAATCGCGAAACTATTCGTATTGTTCGAGTCATCTTGAGAGGTGCTCTCGGTTTCACTCATCTCGCGCTGAGGGGGGCTACAGTGCTGCTGGTCACAGGACTCGATTTTAAGAGATCAGGCGCGTCCGCCTCTCGAATCCAGAGCTCGGAACTCGGTCTGCTGCCCGAATTAGGTCTGCGAAACTACTGTATTGTTCGAGTCATCCTGAGAGGTGCTGTCGGTTTTCTGCACTTAACTCGGGCTGTAGGGGGGCTGCAGGGCTGGTAATGACAGAAGTCGATTCGCAGACATCAGACGCGTCCGCCTGTCGCATGCAGAGGTCAAAAAATATTCACTATGACTCGGAATGTTAGTAGGTGCTGTCGGTTTTCTCAACTTAAGTCGAGCTGGGAAGCTCTACGAGTCTCCCGGCGGTAACCAAGGTTGACGGTTTACCGCCGGCGCCCAGTTTGACCATTCATTTTGAGAAAGCAGATTTTTACGCCGAGCATTGGCATATGAACTCCTCTCTGACAGTAGCTCAGCTCTGCCGATGCATTTTCTTGAGAGTTGACTTCCCGGGACTGCGCGAATATGAACATCGAAAAAATCGAAAATGAAGATTTCCAAAAAATCTCTATTTTCTGACTCTACTTCAATTCTCAGCACTCTTACCAGTGACGGTTCACCGCCGGTGCCAGTCGCTCTCGGGGTTTTTGACGCTACCAAGTTCTAGAGGTTCTTCGCTCTCCAGATTCCTCGTAGAGCTCTTCGGCATCGATGAGCTGGAGGAATTCCGGCGCGGGGTGGAGCTGGTAACTCGTAGAGCTTCCCTTAGCAAGTTGTTGCTGGAAGCTTAAGAGTACCTCGTAGAGCTCTTCGGCAAGATGAGCTAAGAGGAATTCGGGCGCAGGGTGGAGCTAGTTTGCCGACCCGAACTTGACAGATAATAACTCATCGAGCTTCCCTGAGCAAGTTATTGCTGGAAGTTTACGAGTAATTCCGGAGCGCTGGAGAGCTAGTTGGCAAGAAAAATCTCGACGGATCTTTTGATGACTTTCGGTCGGTTGAAAATTTTGTTCTCGAGATTCCTCAATTCGTTTGAGCTCTAGTATTTTTTCCCGTGATATTCCGTCTTATTCCCGCTCGCCATCTTGATCTAGCTCGAGCGGGTACCTTTCACTGCCAAAAAGCGTCCAGGCGGGATCGGCCGTTTCGGGTCATCTTGTCACGCGCTGTCGGTTTTCTCAAGATAACTCGAGCTTCAGGACAGCTACAGAGCTGTTAAGCACAGCTGATCGATTCAGAAGATCAGGCGCGTTCGCCTGTTGAACCCAGAAGTCTGAACTCGGTCTGCTAGCCGAGCTAGGTCCGCAAATCTATGCGTATTATTCGAGTCATCTTGACAGACGGTCTCCGTTTTCTGTAGTTAACTCGAGCTACAGAACAGCTACAGAGCTGATGCGTACAGAATCTGATTCAGAATCATCAGTGGCCGTTGTCTGTTGAATCCAGAGCTCTGAACTCGGTCTGCTGCCCGATCTAGAATCTCGAAACTATTCGTATTGTTCGAGTCATCTTCAGAGATGCTGTCGGTTCTCTGCACTTAATGTGGGGGGGGGGGTGCATGGCTGGTAATCACTGGAATTGATTCGGAGACATCAGGCGCGTCCGCCTTTCGAATCCAGAGCTCCGAACTCTGTCTGCTGCCCGAACTAGGTCCGCAAAACTATTCGTATTGTTCGAGTCATCCTGAGAGTGCTGTCGGTTTCCTGCACTTAACTCGGGCTGTAGGGGGGCTGCAGGGCTGGTAATCACAGGAATCGATTCAGAGACATCAGACGCGTCCGCCTGTCGCATGCAGAGGTCTCAACTCGGTCTGATACTCGAGCTAGGTTTGCCAAACTATTCGTAGTGTTCGAGTCATCTTGAGAGGACTCGGGCTGTAGGAGAGCTGCAGAGCTCGTGCAGAAGACAATCCAGAAGCATCGGGGGCGTTCGGCTGTTGCATTGGAGAGGTCTGAAAATGCTTGGGCTGAAAAACTATTTTTTTCAGTGTAATTTTTTTTGGACATTATATGTTGTCAGGAAGCTCTACGAGCCCCCCGGCGGTAACAAAGGTTGACGGTTTACCGCCGGCGCCCAGTGATGTAACTTTAGGTCGGTTTTGCAATCTTTGTGCAAAATTTTAAAGTTCGTTTTGGGAACCGGTATTTTTCTCACCTGTAGTGGGTTGCGCCGCGTCTGCCAGTGAAATTCTCAGGTCCGTAGCTGCAGTATTACCGAAAGACTTGAGGGAACCGTCGGCCGTTTCGAGCATCTCGACACGCGTTGAAGGTTTTCTGTACTTCTCAAGATTTAGGACAGGTACAGAGCTGCTACTTACAGAAATCGATTCAGACTCATCCGACGCGTTTGTCTGTTCCATCGAGAGGTCTGAACTCGGTCTGCTACTCGAGCTAGATCCCCGAAGCTATTCGTATTACACGAGTCCTCTGAGAGGAACACGTAATTTTTAAAGCTTTTCAGCTCACGCGTAAGAAAGCTTTCCCCATGTGTTCCAAGCAGCGTCGTGCAGAGAAGAGCTCAACGAGGCCCCCGGCGGTAACCTGGTTGACGGTTTACCGCCGGCTCCCAGTAATTCTGGGGCGCTGGAGAGCTAGTTGGCAAGAAAAATCTCGACGGACGTACCTCGTAGAGCTCTTCGGTATCGATGAGCTGGAGGAATTCCGGCGCGGCGTGGAGCTAGTTGGACCGCCCGGCCAGAAAGGGCAAATTGGTGACTTTTTGTCGGTGTTGTGAAAATCTGAAAGATATTTGACCATTCATTTTAAGAGAGCAGATTTTTGCGCGTCGCATTGGCATATAAACTTCTCTCTGACAGCAGCTCAGCTCTCCCGATGCATTTTAGCATGAGTTGACTTCCGAGAACTGAGCGAATATCGAAAAAAACGAGAATACAGATTTTCGAAAAATCTCTATTTTTTGACTCTGTGTCGATTCTCAGCACTCTTACCAGTGGCAGGAGCTCTGCGAGGTATCCGGCGGTGACCAGGTTGACGGTTCACCGCCGGCGTCAGTTTTGACGACTTTTGCTCGGTTGAAAATTTTGTTCTCGAAATTCAACCATTCGTTAGAGCTCTAGTATTTGTTCCCGTGATATTCGACCTTGTTCCCGCTCACCATCTTGATCTCAGCTCGATCGGATACCTTTTACTGCCAAAAAGCGTCCAGGCGGGATCGGCCGTTTCGGGTCATCTTGTCACGCGCTGCCGGTTTCTCAAGATAACTCGAGCTTTAGGACAGCTACAGAGCT